ATTTGATAACTGTCTGGGATCCAATGTTAATTCTATTGAATCAAACTAAGAAAAGTATAAAGATGAATTTTAAACGTTTAGAGGGAAAAGTCAAATATGCATTGTAACCCTAAAAATAATTCATTAAAGTGTCATACACATTTCATAACATTTATATAAATAAAACAAATAAAGCACAACCCTAATGCCCTAATGAATTCATATCGGCGCTAAACGGCCTCTGCAATAAAAACACATCGAAGCAGGGAATGCTTGGGAAATTTTTCCGAGACTGACTTTTGTTATTTCAAAATTGAAATATGCCTAATTCCTATGAAATAATCAAATAACCACGCGATCTTTTTCCCTAGGTTTTACTCTATTTTAGATTTACTAGAAAAATGTTTATATGATGATTGCGTTTGCTTCTCACGAGTTCATTGAAATGTTCAGTCGTAAAACTTTAGAGATCAAAAGACTAATTAGGCACCTGATTGCGAAAGTTTGATTGCATTTCGATTGCCGGGATTTTACAAACGTATTGTTTAAGTAGCAATCGTGTTCTTGGGATCTTGATACCTTCCTATTTTAAGTTTTGGGTTGAAAGCAATGAGTATGTCGGACTTTCTCAAGTCCATATAATGAAACAATATCCCTTTATATTAGTCCAATCTGAATTTGCATAAACATACCAGTTTTTTATTGCAAAAAGAACTGTAATTAATAGCCTACATAAAAGCATCATGATAAATAAAACATGAAAGCCTATTTTTATCAAAATCCATAAATCCTCACCATATAAATATAGTTTTATTGATGACCAAAAACAGATATCAAGGGCGTAGCCAGCTTTCAGTCAGGGGGGAGGGGTGCGATCGCCAAAAAGATTTCGGTTTTCAGTCAGGAGGGTATGATTGTGGCATTTTAATGCTCCTTTCTTCTTCTTTCTCAGCGTTTTATTTTTATTGTTATGGGGGAGGTTGCTATCACACCCCCCCTCCTGGCTACGCCTATGGATATTTTGGCAACTTTCACGTTTACCCCGCCCCCTAATAATTTTTGCACCCCCTCTAAATATCAGACCCGTCAGGCGTTGAGGCATGGATCAGAATACCCTGACTCCCAAGCTGTGCGACTTCTGGCAACCGCTACACCTATATTCCCGGGGAAACGCTTTTAAAAAAATTGTCAAATATGGTCGTGTGTGGGCAAACACGGAGGAGGAGGAGAGGGATGCGTGCATTGCGTGCGACCCTTCATCAGTTGTGTACCTTATTTTTGTATGAATCTCTTCCGAATAGTTATGCTAGAGGGGTTCTGATATTTATTTCTGTTTTCAAATGAAATAGTTTCACCCTTGCCCGACTGACTTGTAGATAATGCACGAATCAAATAGCATGGAGATCAGATAATCAGATTGATTCGTATTTTCGCAATCAGATGAATTAACTTATTGTTTTCTCTGATTAAAAAGCGGTTTGAAGCTACTTTTACAGGATTTGTAAATTCGCAATCAGACTGGCTTCTTTTAATATTTAGTCAGTGCAAGAGTAGGGGACTATTTATGTAGAAAATTGTTTTGATTTCGACACTAACTGAATAATTTATCACAATTGTTAAATACGCAAACAGAAACAGGTTTAAAAATGAGAATAGAGGCAAAAAGTCTAGACATAAAAAGTAATTAAAACCCGGGAATTAAAAGCAATTTTAGACTTAGATGATCTCTTCTGTAATCAAGGTGATGTTGGTACACTTCCGCCGTTAGAAAAACAAAGACTAAGACAAAGACTATATAGCAATTAATCCTTTTGTAATCATTAAATGTTAGATTCTTATTATTTTGTTGGACAATAATCAGACTTCTGACCAAGATTAAATCATTTATGTTTGTATTTAAAAAATAGTATTTCAATCAGACAGACGTGCTAATGAGTTCGAAAAATACATTTGTCCATTTCCTCTCAAGAAGTTTTCAAAGGTTATCAAGTCGATTTGTTTCAGTGTTTAGCATTGTTTTTCATAACTTGACGCTTCCATGAACATAATGATTTTGAAATTAGTTTTTATAATTTTAGCTTTTATACGGACATGCTTATTGTATATTTCTATATGAACGTTGTAGTTATGTGATGTAACATCCCCCCCCCCAAAATTACAGGTATACACATTTTGATCGGAATGCATTAACTTGCAATTAAAAGCAATTTTAATTTTAATCTCTTATGTAATCTAGGTGATGTTGGTACACTTCCGCATTTAAGAAAACAAAGACTAAGACAAAGAGAACTAAGCAATTAATCCGTTTGTTATCATTAAATTTTAGATTCTTATTTTTTGATTGGACAATATTAAGACTTCTGTCTCCGATTGTTATGCAGGTATTTGTATAAAATCATGTGAACAACATTATCGTAGAAACTCCCATCTTCATTCTCATAATGTCTTACAGCTATTTCGCAAATTACATAATCCTAAACAACATATGGACATAACGATAATATCACTGAGCGAAAAGAACGGTGGAACAAATTAGATTAAGATATTTTCTTTTTGAAATGCACAAAGGGCAACAGTTGAAGAACAAAAGTTAAAGGCGTTTTGAAATAGATCGTGCTTTTATATGATCCCCTCTATAATACCCTACCCTTTGCATTTGTTCGACTTCACTTCTTAAATGAGAGTTTCGTCTTCTCGTAGTTTATAATTAGACTCTGCACGCAGCGTAATAGTGCCCCTATTATCCATGTTCAGGGGCGTAGCCAACTTTCAGTCGGGGGGGGGGGGGGGGTGCGATCGCCAAAAAACAATAACGGTTTTCAGTCGGGGGAGGGGGTTGCGATCGTGGCAAAAGCAAGCCAAAAGATGCAACTTCCTTCAAAGTTGAGCTTGAAGCTTCTATCTCTTCTTCTATTTCTTGGTTCTATTTTATTGGTTATGCACCGCAACCCCCCCCCCCCCTGGCTACGCCTATGCCTGTCGAGAGACAAAAAGAGAAGCGAAAAGACTGTTAAAACAAGTACTTCCAATAAATACTTTTACAGTTATATGTGTTTATCAACGACCCTACTTGTCAAATTAATATAATTAATAGAAACGAAAACTAAATTCTTTCATTACGCGAAAACCGTTGACATATCTACCTGATTCGCTGGAATAGTCATTAGTCACATTATTTCAGAGCAAACAATTAGCATCTACTATAATATTTATTTTTCTATCCGATATACAACTGATATTGATATCTTTCCCCGGACAATGTACTGTGTTATCTCATGATCCGTTGACATCATCAACAATTTGATTTACCACAAGAGAGTAACCAACATTCCTTAATTAAAAAGTTGACATTTCTTGAATTTTATAGCAAAAACACTATGACACAATAACATCGAGGCAAAATCAAAACATGGTGTGGAAATAAAAGGCATACAAAATGGCCATTAAAATGAAATTCTTGTTCATAAAAGTATCAACTTTATGCAAATACAAAGTATAGAATAAATAAAAATAACGTCTTCCCAGAGATTACAATACGGATCAGTAAGTCAACAAATCTAACTGTTAAATAAACAAACTTAGCCCATGTCTGCAATTGTTCGTCTGCTGGTCAGAACTCGGTATCCTCTTCGGATAATCAATTTCTGTGACTACTGATGTCTTAAATAATTCATAAAGACGACGTTGTCTTTAAATAAGGATCTTTAATCTACAAACTGTAAATAAATAGCCCGAGTCCGGGATTGTAGACAACAACATTGATACCTTGCTGTCCTCTGTTAAATCACGAAACCAGTTTCCCTTAAATTTTTTACTAAGAGACTTATACATGCATAAGTTATCTATCAAATTATTTTTCTTTAAATATTAAATGTCGTCTAAGTTTGTTTTAATGATTAGTCTTCATCTAGATTCATTAATCATCACGATATTTATATATACATATTATGTAATAGACCTATCATATCACGTCCGTAGTTACAAAGTCAACTACATATTAATGCAATAGAATAAGACTCAATAATTAAAAAAATAAACCTCAGTATTCGGGCCTAAAAAACACAGATAAGTGTATCAATACCAACGGGTAAGCTCAAATAACCTTCCAGATAAGTGTATCAATAATCAAGGATTGCGAGTACTAAGGACCGGGTAAGATGGTTGTAACATTGGTATTGCTAGTTATTAAACACGATTTTGTCTTGTGTTTTAACTGGGCATTAACATTCAAAATGTCGTCCTTGGCATTTGTTACAGACGCCGAACGCCAACCACAGAACGGCGTCCACAAAAAGTTGGAGACTATAACAATTAGTCACCACTTGTACACTCCCACTCCTTGATGCATATCAATTAAACCTTTAACCATAACGTGCACCTATTTGCTGGCATTTAGCGAATAATTCGTAAACTTTCTCGTGACAAAATGGATTTGTTTTTCTAGGAGAAATCGACATAAACATAGCATGACATAAACTGACATCAACACAAATGTGTCGAGATTAAAAGTAATACTATAATCTAGTACACTAACTCTTCTAAAACATAGTTGAAAAAGATTTTTTGTATCTGGAAACATGAGACACAAGATCTAAGGGCATGTGTAATATGAGAAACCTATGCTGAAAAGCAAGACCGAGGAGGCTGATTGTGCAAAGTTACAAACCACAATAAAAAACAAGACATCTATCGAGTGTATTTGAAAAAATAGGAAACTCGGAATACTTGGGTCAGGTAAGAACACTTCGGCAAGAGTCGGAATAGTCGGGTAGCCGAGTATACTTTGGCTTCCACATCCACGCTTAATGTTAAAAGATCAACATACGATTCGCTAAGGTCGCTGCCAAAAACAGACATCAATATTTCAGTTTATTTTTAGAAGAGGCTGAGGGCCATTGATTTCGTAAGGTTCGTAAAGTAATAATTCCATTGTTTTCTAAGTACGACGTCATCATATCTCGGATTACAATAACTCTAGTTATTATTAACTCTCAAATCTTGGCTGATGACACCCTAATTACCTTAGACAAATACCAAGTGACTGTGAATCCCTGTAGAGCGGTAGATGTAAGTTTGTATACATCACTGGGAACTTTACCATCTCGGACAACCGCCTGCAACATAATAGAGGAGTTTACATATAACTTTGAAATCTAACCAATTCTCGTTTTTACCTAGAGTGATTAACTTTTCCTTCTTTTTAATATATCAATTCAGTGAAAGGGTTTTCCACAATAACTTTGATTTATACAGTTAGGTTATTTAAATAATTTTCCATGACTTTTTAAAAAACTGTGCCAAATCTCCATTGATGCAATGCTAATATTCTTTAAAACCTTGATTTTTTGGGTTTGACAATCAAATATTTAATGTTTAATCACAACAGGTACATTGACAGGGTCATCCTATAGTATGTCATTCAAGTTTTAGACAGATTCAACCATCACGTTTTGATAAATCGTGAAATTAAGTTACTATTTTGCAACCCTTTAACATTGAAGTGAATGGCCATCTAGCTTAAGAAAAATGAAGAATGAAAAGGGTGACATCTATTATTTCAGCTTTATTCAGTTATTTTGTAGGATAGAGAATTATACTCTAATTGTTATTGTGGCTGTTGCGAACTTTAATTAATTTTATCAAACGATACCCTATTTAAAGCATTCAGAATTTAACTCACAATTCGCCACTTCATAAATGGGCTTAATAATTCAGAAATGGTCAAAAAGGCAAAGTTTACCTATACGGGCAGAAATGTCGCGAGGAAAAGCGCGTGAATTCCGGCTTTTGCTCGGTTATATTCGGGCAACTGATCCCTTGAGACTTCACCTGCAAACCCAATTAGAAGTTTCAAGGCAAAAAGTGACCATGAATCACCTACACTAGTGGTCTGTGATCAATCGTGCCTCCAAATTATTAAAATGATGGCGCAAAAATAAACAAATTCTTCGTGAAATATAATAAATGTATGATGCGGACATGAAGGTATTGTTGACTCTTTCACCTTCACCGCACTACATGTAACAGGCCAGATATAATTTAAAATTTGATTTACTTTGTGTTCACAATTCAACTATTAAATGAGTGAATAGTATAGTGTATAATCAAATCAAACAGGTCATGTTCAAATTAGATTTCTTGGAACAAATGTAAGACATTTGAAAGATATTATGAAATACACCAATGAATACCAGGCCTACTGATGTGTAGGAATATATAAGCGCAAATGCCAAAGGGAAAAGGGGGGTAGGAAATGTCAGTTGTGCTTCCTCTGGTGTGTTCGAGTGTTAACATCAGCTGCCTCTAGTCAGGTCGACTAATAAACACAAGGAGCGTGTGCTCCTTGTGTTTATTCATTTATGAATTATGATCACTGTCTGAGCTTTCAGTTGTTCTATGTGCACGTGTGACATTGGCTCTGAAACTTTACTCAATGAATAGTTTTCTGAAGCCAACTTAGATTTGGACACATAACCGCTTCGTTATTTTTGGAATAGAAAAATGAGATTTTTATAGTTTTGCTCCAGGCGTGCATTTTGATAAATCAATTTTCGATAAAATATAATGTTGATTTTTAAATTTAAATGATTCGTGTATAGTATTCTCTAGACATTGAATCAGTTAAGGTGATATTAAAGTTAGAAAGAGTAAAATAACTCGACACGTTGGCAAAACACAGTACATACACACAGGTATCTTTTCGGCAAGTTTAGATGAGTTCTGAAAACTATAACTACTTAGTACACAACTAGTTACTTTGACGGAACGCCAATGTAACAAAACAAATGAACTTCCTTGATATGAGTTTTTTTGTTTTCTCGATTTTAACTTACGTATAAGTCATGTTGTGGATTATCATTTTGCACAAAGTTAGACAATATAGTCTCGCTTTCAGAAATGCTCTCGGTTTGGAATTTGATTTTAAAATATAGTTGTAACAGGACCATCGCTTTTGTTACATTGACGCAAGTCGTCAAAGTAACATACATTCATTGGTTATATAACGGATTTTCATTCGTCGATGTAACAAAAGCGAGGGGCTAAATATATGAATTGCAGCTTCATTTACAAAACAAATTCCAAATCGAAAAAACTAGACTTTATTTTCTAAGGTAACAGGACAACTCATCCCTAAGACAACTCATCCCAAGACATCTCATCCCCAAGACAACTCATCCCAAGACATCTCATCCCAAGACAACTCATCCCCAAGACAACTCTTCCCAACTTGAAAAATAACATAATTTTATACAATTGATTTCAACTTTAAAAAGAATATTTGAAACACATTTAGAGATTTTAGCCATAAGCGCACTGTTTTTGGCCATGGCATATCTTTTGTATTTTTTAGTTAGTTTAGTCTGGTTTTAGTTAATTTTTGTTGATTGATTGGGATAAAGATAAACATGTTCAAATTAATATATACTTTGATTATTAAATCAAATATCATCAAGGGTGTCAGATTAGGATTAACGAAATAAGAATGTATTATCCGGCAATTATCAGAATAATTCTCTCAGATTAATTCAGTCTTTGTTTTAAAATATTTTGCTTAATTCCAATATGTCATATTTGGCTTATTCTTAAATAAGATTTTCCAATTTTTAACTTTCAGAATCATGATGATTGAATTTGGAAATTATGTTTTTGACTTTTATCTTCAATTCTATATTCTCAAATTAATAAAAAATATTGGTACGTAAAAGTAAATGCTAAAAATGCTAAAAATTATCAATATTAAGATTGAGTGTATAATCAAATATCACTTTGTAATCGTAAAAATGAAAAGGGATATATATAATATAGAGAACAAATTAAATAATTTATCAATTATACTAGTGGGATGAGTTGTCTTGGGATGAGATGTCTTTGGATGAGTTGTCTTGGGATGAGATGTCTTGGGATGAGTTGTCTTAGGGATGACTTGTCTTGGGATGAGTTGTCTTAGGGATGACTTGTCTTGGGATGAGTTGTCTTGGGATGAGCTGTCTAGAAACCTTTTCTAACTTTCTTGTACTAAATTATATAAAAATGTAACTTGTCTTATAAGTAGGTTTAAATCGAGAAAACAAAAAACTCGTAACCAGGAGTAACTAGTTATGTTTCTAAAACGTAACTATGCACTCTGGCGACGTAACGTACCTGAGGAATTCGACTTCTAATTAAGCACCCGTTTGAAGAGCTCTCATAAGGCGCCATTTTTGTTTATCGATTTGGACTAATCAGAGGTGTACATTTTCTCAATACAGGTTTACATTATAAGCGTTCATCTTTGAACTCTGGGGTTAATTCCCCTCTTAGCTCTCATATACGGTACAACTTCGTCTATATCCGGATTCTTTCCAATTGGATTACTACAGGGGTGCGATTTTCAATGCCGCACTGCGGCCTTAATTAACATTTATGAAGAGTTGCATTGCACAAACGATAGATATGTATGTTATTAATATATACAACAAGGCTTTAGAACTATAATCACCAAAACCTAAGAAATTTGTATTTGAAAATGCCGTTAATTCAAGTGACGTTACTGATTTCCCAGATATTGCTCAGACGCCATTGAAGAATATAAATAATGTTACTTTGAATCTCCGATTATCTTTCTGATTATTGAATAGATTGGATCATAAACTATGCTTGAGGGCTGATGGAAGATTGGAAGATGGGAAACTGTCATTTTGTCAAGATTCACGCTAGTTTATCAGAAGTTGTTGAAATTTTGTTAGAGTAATCGTCCGCCATTTTGATGCCATAGATACGCTATGATATGCACTCATCGACTATTGATATTAGCGGATCGTGACCTTTTACTTTGCAATTACTCGTTCGGCGGGCCAATGAAAATTTGTCCCTTCCAAGGCGATGCATCATAGGAGATATCTATGTAAATTACCAACTGAACATTTATCGCGAATTGGAGTATTAAAGCGGAAATATTGTCAGGTATTCTAATCATCATTATTGTAGTTACAATACTACTGAATAAAATGCAATAAGTTGAAAGTCTTGTTATGTGTTAGTTTTTGTATAATATTGAAAATAAAAATCATAAATTGACCCAGTGACCCAGTTGTCTGTTGGACGGGGCTCGCCATATTTCCCTCAGAGACCCGGATGTAGACCGGAAGTGTGACGTTTCTGCGACCTGAGCCGCCATCTTGAAAGCATTCACAACAAAGGAAAATGCCTATGTGTTGTGCGGTAAATTGTTCAAATATTTCCACTGATAGAGCTAGACTTGGGATAAGGACTTTAAAAGAAATGCCTGAACGACAGTACGACAGTCGGCTGGTGACGGTAGAATTAAAATCTGTCGACAGTTAAAACCAGCTGTCGTTGTCGTGGACCGAATCCCCGGGGAATATAACACATTTAAAATAAAACAGTGTCACTTACTATAGTTTCTGAAAAGTTTCATGCACGGCTTTTAACAATCAAAGATTCCTACTTATTATTGTCTTGTTTGTCGTCCTATATCTATCCTGGGGTTGTGTTTTTTCTCCCCAATACGGGAAAACATTTTGAATAAAGAATTTTCCAATTCCTCCATCGAATAAGTATAGGGTAATCTGCAGCAGTTTCGTTTTTGCTTCAACTCTTCGCGCATGCCTAGTAGTTTGAAATAATTTACAAGTGCGCATGTGTTTTTGGAATTAAGCCAATCAAATTATTCATTCTAATGCGCATGGACTTGATTTCGAATCAAGAGGAACTGGCGCAGATTGCCTCAAATGCTGAAATCGCTCTTCAAAATAGATTGGTGAATAAAAAAAAATAAGAACTGAAGTTAGAGTGGTTTATTTAGTTCGATGTCAGGATATTTCAAGTACATTGATTATATAGACTAGGGTGGTCCAAAATATGGCGAAAAACCAACTTTGTTTCAGATCATCTTCCTCATTTCACTTACTGTTGTCCATGACCTAAAACACCTGCACACCAAATTTTAAGACCCAAATCACATGGGAAATTTACCCACGCTTCGACTGAAAATTCGGTTATTTCATGATTTTTTGCTATTTTCGATAAATTGTCATCTCCCTTTTCCTGGTATAATATGTTTCTATTTTTTCATAATAAACATTTTTGTAGGACTCTTTATTACTTCATAATACTAAGAACCCATACACCAAATGTTGAGACCCAAATCCCATGGGAAATTTACCCACGCTTCGACTGAAAAATTCGGTTATTTCATGATTTTTTGCTATTTTCGATAAATTGCCATCTCCATTTTCCTGGTATAAAATGGTAGATGTCTTTTCATAATAAATATTTTTGGATGACTCTTTATTACTTCATAATACTTAGGAACCCATACATCAAATTTTGAGAACCAAATCCCATGGTAAATTTACCCACGCTTCGACTGAAAAATTGGGTTATTTCATATACAATACAATACATCTCTATTTTCCTGGTATTATATGTTTCTATTTTTTATAATAAATATTTTGGGAGGACTCTTTATTACTTCATAATACGAGGAACCCATACCCCAAATATGCACCAAATTTTGAGACCCTGGCCCCATGAGAAATTAATTCATGCTTCAACCAAAAATTTGTGATTTTCTGCGAATTCTCTCCTATTTTCAATAGATCAACATTAATCTTATATTTAGTTTTTTAAACATTTTAGGAGGTCATTAATACGTTCTTAATACTAGGAACCCATACATTTAATATGTACCAAATGTTTAGACCTGAACCCCATGGGAAATTCACGTTTGCTTTGATCATATACTTTTGATTTTTGTCGTTTAGAGCACCATATCATTGTTGTGTGATGTGCAATTTGTACTAAATTGTATTACACGTTGTCTTAATTATCCTGTTTGGCCTTACATACGTTACATCGTGAAAGACAGTTATATAGTACTTTAAGGTAATTCCTTATTTTCAGTTTTAATGGCTTCCTAATTGGAGCCCCGTGTTTTTTCAGGAACAAATAACTCATTCCATTCAGATGCACAAACAGTGTATAAACATAGCACATAGTACATTATAGAAAATTACTAACCATCAACTAATAATCTAAATACATATTTGAACTCAGTGTAAAATTGAAAGAGCTGACCAAGTATGGAATGAGTTCCAGAAATAACATTGGACTCCACTTAAAATTTCTGAACATACAGAATTACCTTAAGTGTTTCTCATTGCTCTTCCTATCTTCTACATTGTGTACTTTCAGGGCATGAACATTGAACATTTTCAGAGAAATGACAAAGCTCAGTGGAAGCTCCAATCCCTTGAAGATTTGGTACAGGCTTACTGGTTACAACAGAGACCATGCCATTGATACATTGATACATTGATCAATCAAAAAATCATTTCTCCAAAGAAAATCAGATTTGATATTTGACCTTACCCTGCAAAATGTGAGAAAGAATATGACATCTCACACAAATCCAGACAAAGTCCTGTGATGTATCCCTACTGAAACCAACAAACCAAATCTTCAAGGCATTTGAGTTGCTGTCGAGTCATCACTTCTTAATATTAACCACAGTATATAAATGTACAAGTAAAAGATCCTAAATTTTCCCCAAACTACTGAATTTGTCGCCTTTCAATAAGACTTAAAGTCTTGATATTTAGGTGTTTCTTTGGATTAAGAAGGAATTACCATAATGTTTATTAACATATTATGCCCCTAAAACAGACATCATAAGCTATCATGAGCACCAGTTTTCAGTCAAAGCATGGGTAACGTTCTCATTGGATTTGGGTCTCAAAATTTGGTGGATATTTGGTGTATGGGTTTTTAGTATTATGAAATAATAAAGAGTCCTCAAAAATGTTTATTATAAAAACATATCTAACCAGGAAAATGGAGACAGCAATTTATTGAAAATCGGAAAAAATGTGAAAATCACAATTTTTCAGTCAAACCATGGGTAAATTTCCCATGGGATTTGGGTCTCAAAATGTGGTGTATGGGTTCCTAGTATTATGAAGTAATAAAGAGTCATCCAAAAATATTTATTATGAAAAAATAGAAACATATTATACCAGGAAAATGGAGACAGTAATCTATTGAAAATCGGACAAAACTGTGAAAATCACAATTTTTCAGTCAAAGCATGGGTAAATTTCACATGGGATTTGGGTCTCAAAATTTGGTGTTAGGGCTCCTAGTATTATTAAGTAATAAAGAGTCCTACAAAAATGTTTATTATGAAAAAATAGAAACATTTTATACCAGGAAAAAGGAGATGGCAATTTATAGAAAATAGCAAAAAATCATGAAATAACCGAATTTTTCAGTCGAAGCGTGGGTAAATTTCCCATGGGATTTGGGTCTCAAAATTTGGTGTGCAGGTGTTTTAGGTCATGGACAACAGTAAGTCAAATGAGGAAGATGATCCGAAAGAAAGTTGGTTTTTCGCCATATTTTGGACCACCCTAATATAGACGCTACAGTGATGATGGTTCTAGACACGCGGGGCAAGTTGTTTTAGCTGATTTTCTCCTCAAACGGCGTAGATTGAACACAATTTTACTTCCGGGTTTACCCACGACAGTTTGCTATCGGCAACAGAAATAACACTGTCGTTATCGACAATGGAATCTCACTGTCGTTCGGGCAGTTGCCATACCATACATATTCTGTCACAAGAAACCAAAGAAAACGGATTCAAGGCGAGCAATCCGGTCCCAAAAAGAGAACTGAACCAGGCCATGTGCCGGTTAGGTCGACGCCATTTTGAAAAAACCTTTTGAATTGTATCGTATCGTATCGTATGTCTTTAATAGCTTTATAACTTAATACCATATTTGTGAAATAAATATAACATACTAGGTCTACGAGCCTTTAAATTGTTTGTTGTCTACTGTAAATACAACAGTAATATACCTCCATGGTGATCGAAATGACGAACCTTGCGTCATCGATCGCGATCATTCATGACGGGGAATACATTATCAGTTCTGCCTTATATTTATAACAGAGTGTCAAAAATCCAATTAATATCTGCCATTCGTCATTTTATTAAATAAAAGATCCGAATATGTTTAATCTTCAAGCAAACAGATCGAGAGATAATTGATTGTCAACATAAAATTAACGCATTTTCCTGTCATGTCGGTAACCACGAGTTGGTCAGGTTTTGATTGGCACTTTGGGAGTTAATTCTATGAATTGTAAGTATTGATGTGAACATGGTCATGTTTTTCTCGAACAGGTGATATCATATTATAGTATGTCAATATGCCAAATACATCGTCAAAATCTTCAAGTTGCTCCATTTTCTTGTTAAGAAGTTCGTAATATTTTTCAATGTGGCCGCCCCGCTACAATTGCGCATGCGCGTTTTTCGGGCCAATCAAAATGCTGGAATTTGTCGAGTCGCAGTGACGCCGCTCATGAATATTCATAAGTAGGTTATGGCGACCTCCATAATCCAGGTGAAGATCCAATACCTCAAAATTAATTCCAATATATCTGCCGATGCATTAGAAGATCGTCGCTCATTCCCGGGTCATGTTTTTGATTATAGACTTATTATTCTGATGAATCATAGTTTTTACTTGAGGTTATTATCTCTTTAAAATTTGCCATTTGGTTGTTGTACAAGCGGACATCGGTCGGTTCTGGACACACGTTCGTAAAATTGTTTGTGTTGCCGTTTGAGAAAAAACAACAATGGCGACACGAATCATGCCATTTATTTAGAACAGTGCACAAGCACCCGTGAAATAGTCAAGATGATCCCCAATGTAGATGCCAACTGATCCATGTGCAAAAGCACTTTGATAACATAAGCGCCCTCTATTTTCGAGAACAGGATAGCCGTTGAGCTGTACTTACATCAGACTGTTGCTCGTATTTATTATTGATGTTAAAAAGTAGGTCCGCATCAATCATGTGTTTGTCGTTGAGTTCGACCACCATTGATTGACCAACAGGATTGCGGTAGCTGTAGTCGCACCTGCCTGTGTTCTCATGAAGTGAATGTATTATGCCTGTAAGGAAAACATTGAAAAATCTGCATCTTTGTTTTTTTGTAATGACACAAAAAATTATATGACATTATATTTATGATGTAAAAGAAGTTATTCACCAGGGGGATTTTATATGGGGAAAATCACGAGGATGATATCAATATTTCCCGAGGGAAATATTCTTTTTATAATTTTTTTGAGTTTACCCGGCGATATTGATATCATCCCTCTAATCCTAATATCAACCCTGATATCATCCCTGTCCCAAATATGTGATTTATCACCCGCTATTAAATACCTGATATTGCTCTGACCATTGTATAAAAGAAATATCTGCGGGAATACAATCCTTTGTCATTTCAAAAAATATTTTCATCAGTGGTTTTGATGTTTGGCGTATGGAATAAAGATACTAAATATCACATGCATTATGGGCGCAAATTGAAAATATCTCTGTTGTTAACAGATTTCTAAATAAATTATAAACCCATAAATGTATGAACAGCAGTTAAAAAGAAGACACAATATGAAGTACTAGTATAGTATATTGTTGAGATCTATGTTTATTCAATTCCTTTAGTGATATGTATTTCAATACTGCTTGACTTATGATCATTTTGTTTTTTTGGATAAGATTCCCCCAAACATTATTGAATTAATATCTGAAAAAAGCATTTACTATTTCATTGCTTCATCTCATGGTTACTATGGTAATACAGGGTAATACGCAGGGCAAAGGATAGGTATCGATATGGTGAACTGAATTCAAAAATGTTTTTCTCATAAACCAACATTCTGTAAAAACACGGTCCTTAATGTAATGTTGATTGATGGACAACCATTTTATAGCGAACATATTTTTTAAGGTTTTATATAACTGTTTTTATTAACATTTTTTTTGTTTTTTAGTGCAATTGTTTTTTGTTCCTTTTTACAAATTCTTCAGAATTAAATAAAATATCTTTCCGAAGCTTGTTGGAACAAAATTGCATATACATGTACAACATTTTCTTAGACCTCTCAATATTATAGTTATACAAAGGAAATTTTGGTTGATTTAAGAAAAAGTATTAAAGAATTTAAAACAAAAACCCCCAAAATAGATAAAAATTTAGATAATCCTTTTATTTCATTTACAATATACTTTTTTAAATCAACCAAACTTTCCTTTGTACAATTACAATATTGAGAGACTTAACACGTTGTGTCTCATACACTGTCGACACGTTACATTTTGAATAATATTTCGTCTTTAAATGCTCATAACTCAAATAATATTTGACTATTATACTTTATTTTCGTCTTGATAAAGGTAGTTGGAAGTGTTATTTCAAAAAAGGAAATCTAGTAAGCGTCCCATATTATAGAATTTGTCGACAGCGACCTTTTTTGCTCATTTTTGTTACCTTCAGCTTTTCAGGTGTACATTGAACAAAAAATACGACACCGATTTTAAATAAATCATACTTGATTATTTTGCTCATAAACTCTAGTTTATCAATAAGTAGAGCGGTTTCGCAAAACGTTTTTTAGCTCAACGGATCCGTAGCCGTAACCTATTTAAGAACATTTGCGGAAATCAAGAGTGCTGTTGACACCTCACTGAAACTGAACTGAAATAGTTGGGCGGATGAATACCAGCGTGTATTGATGTAGTGTATTAATGCCGAAGGACATTATTTTGAGTATCTTTGTTGAGTTTTATGTCAAATAGGATTGCACAGTTGGATTTAGTCTTTCAGATATTCAATATGAGTTATGACGTCAATATGAGCTCAAATCCTGGACCAAGTGCCCCTACCATTGGGTAGGAAAAGTGTGATTACAGCTATCAATTAATCATTCTGAAAATTCCCTGTATAGCCATATAAATTTTGTAAAAATTTCAAATGATTTCCTCTTATTAAGAAAAAGATACAGCATTTTTCTACTCAATCAAACACTGCCCTTGGTGACATCACAGCAGTTTACCATAGTTACCATAAATTCAACCAACCAAAGAGTAGTTAACCATATATGAGAGTTTTATCAATTAAGAATTTACCTGTATTAAAATCTAAGATTTCCTTTGTTGGTCCCTTTCCTTTTATATTCCTCATCATAAGACCAAGTCTTCTAGCTCTGTCAAAACATACCTAAATTCAAAGTAACGGAATGATAATGCTATCAGGTAGCAATGGCGAGATATTCTTAAAGATGGATTGTTTACAATTGTCTTGTTTTAAGATCTTTTTGAATTTAGGAAAATTATAACTGGTAAGTTTAGTTTATAGTTTCCAGAATGAAACAAATACCCTAAAATGTCATTGAACCTTCATGGATTACTTTGGTATCAACTTTGTCACATGGTAATTTTTAAACATTACCTGTATTTATTTAAGGGATCGCCATGACGTAATATCTCATGCATTGATGCAGTAGGGATATTGAAGCTATTTGGAATCTGCAAGTGAGCTTCACAGGGAAAGCGAAAGTCATATTTCAGGGGTCATATCATAAATTCAGTAGCATTAAAACTTTATTATAGGTATAATTGATTAGACAATACTTCTAAAGGTAAAAAACACAAATGTGAACTCTTTAGAGACATTTAAACATCAACGGAACACAATTTAACCAAAATAAACATTTTAACCAAAATAATTTCAAGATCCTTTTATTAGTTATTTACAGTGGATCACATTAATAGAAATATGACGCAAAGTATATCATCTTGTAATGTACTTTATTGATCATCTCTTTGAGGCTACTTTAAACTGTCTCAAAGAGATTAACCCTCATTATACTAAGACCAGCACACAATCCTCTGAGCTTTGCTACATGAAGGGGGTGGCGAAATAGATTACCTATAACATATAAACCTTGATGTGACCAATCACATGCTCTACATAAGTCACTTACATTTTTGAGGTTTTCTCCGTATATTAGAAATATTATATATTCTTAGGAGTGGGTATCGACATGGACATACTTTATCCCCGGACTTTATCCTAATAAAACAACTGGGTTATTTGTGTTGTACATGTATAAAAGTTAGAAAGAAAACATTCCTAGGATTATTTTGTGGAATTAGTCAGAACGTTTTAACATGAAAATATTAACATCTTAATATGCAGTTGCCATAATATGACTGTGGAATGAATTGTATTTGAAAAAATTGATATGGCCTTTTAATGAACCCATGCCTAAAAATAAGGCAAAGTACCATGGTCCCATCTTACTTTTCACCTAACAATACAAAAATTCAAATGAAGTAGGATAAATGAAAAATAAATTATATTTTGATTTATGAAATGATTGAAGTTTAACGAATTAAAAAGGAGTTTGAAATTCGTACCGTAAAGCATCAGCTTGTTTTGCTTTTAATGTCACAAGTCTGACTTTCACTTTCACTGTAAAGCTCACTTTCAGATTCCGAACAGCTTCAACATCCCTAGTGGAGACCCATTCGACAAAACAAATATTACGGCCTAAGCTTATAATTTTGTAAGCGAGATAATATTGAAGTATAACAATTTTAAGTATAAAATGTTGTTTTTCATGGTCTTAAAAATCATATCAAGATATACGTTATATCATATTTTCAGACAATATTTTTTAAACAAAAATATTTTTTTACTTACGAGTTTTTCAAGAAAAATATTTTTCACACAAATACAAATCTTACAATATTACGCAACATTAACTATATATCAAATATAAGGACAAGATTGCAATGTTTCAAATTCCAGGGTTAAAGTAAACAAAATTACGTCAACGAGACCAATTGGTCGATGCATTTATTTTGTAAAAAATGACCACTCCACACTCATACTCACCCTACTATTATGGACTTCTTTGTTTCCATGATCTATGAGCTCCATGTTGGTACAGAAATGTTTTGAAAGATCCTCCACCATTCGGTTGCCATAAGAACCCACAATAAGTCCAGCTATCGTCAAGAGCAGTATCATATTGTTGTTTTTTTCCTGACTAAATTAATTAATGTAAAGCATAACATAGTCAAACTTTTATAAACCGTGCCATAAAAATAGACCTTGGTGCTAGAAATGAATATTTCAACACGGTTCTTCAAATCCTACGATCAGTATATTTATTGTGTTGTCGCTGTCCTTGAATTATGTTGAGAAATATCACGAAGGGAAATTTAATTATCAACCTTTGCCATAATATTTCTGTTCAAGAATGTACACAATTAAATATGAAATTTACTCCAATGCAAGAATACAAAACAGACTATAATGACTATTCAAAATGAGTATTACCTTAACTATTTGCTTCACCAACCAACTCGGTGTTACCTTTAACTTTACATATCACCTTTAATGTTAAACTTTACGATCCGTATGACACTTCACTCTGTATATTATGCTTGAATAACTGTATTGCTCTTATTAATTATCTACATCTCAATCCATTAGCCATATGTATTACCCTTAACTATCTGTATAATCTTTAATTATCTATGTTTACATTAAGTATATGTGTTAGCCATAACTGTCGGCGTTACTCTTAGATGTATGTGTTACACTTAACTATCCCGGCTATGACATTAATGGTTGAGAAATAGGGATCGAAACCAGCCATAGTTTCCTCCTGATGACCATTGTGAATTATTGTGTTTTATGAATTATGGCGACGGCTTTTGTGAATGGATGTTGACCCTTTGAAATGCCTATGGACTTGGAGACTGGATTTTATCTATCCCACATCATTTGAGACTGAATGCTTTATCTTGTATGAGTAATTGTATTTACAACTATTTTTGATGTTATGAGTATTGGCTATCAATTTCTAATTTTTTCTTTCACATGTATTGTAATGACTTCAGTTGGAATGAAATGTCCCTTGGTGTTCTGGTCTTGGATTGTGTTACGTTACATTTCACTATCTGCATCAACCTCATGTGTCTGTGTTACATTTAAGTACCCCCCTTACCATTAAATTCATTGTTACCTTTAGCTATCTGCATTATCCTTAATCATCTGTATTACCCTTAAGTATTTGTTTTACCCTTAACGTCCCCGTCAAAAGTTTGAAAATATTTTTTTATCATTCATTTACTATTTGTGATGACTTAAAAAAAAAGTTGTGAGCATTTCATTTCTCAAATATTCAAATTTCCCGCCATTTTTCAAAAAAAGTTGAAATTTTTCAATTATCAAATATTTCTTAATGCATTTCAAAAAATATTATATTTTTAACACCAATGCACAGATTGAACAAAGGACACACTATTTCAATAACAAAATGTTCAAACATTAGTGATGTCACTAAAGCTACGTTCACACCAACGCCACTTTGATGGCGCTTTAAAGCGGCTTGTAAAGCGGCACCAAAGCGTAACAAAGTTTGATTAAAGCGTTGGGGTCGTAATAGGTAGAAGAAAAGCTCGGAGTTAAGCGGGATATTCGGCAAGAGCACTAAAAAGTTAAACTGTTCAAGCTACGTTCGCACCAACGGCGCTTTGATGGCGCTTTAAAGCGGCTTGTAAAGCGGCACCAAAGCGTAACAAAGCTTGATTAATGTGTCGGGGTCGTAATAGGTCGTGGAAAAGCTCGGAGTAAAGCGGGATAATCTGTTTAAACTGTTTAAAAAATTTTGCGCGCTCTGTTACGAATTGATTAAAGCGCCGAGAGTGTATCAAAGCTTAACAAACAGTTACAAAGCTCAACAAAGCTTGACCCAAAGCGTAGGAAAGCTTAACAGAGCTTGGTTCAAAGCGGGGACCCTAGTCTCTTCACGGTCTATTACCACTTGACACGCTTTGTTAAGATGTCTCAAGCTTTGCTACGATCTGGCATGAAGAGCTGACACGAGGTCAGACGCTTTCATCAATATCTGACAATCTTTGTTACACTTTCATGAAGGACTTTCAAGCTTTCCAACGTATTGAGACGCTTTAATCAAGAATTGAAACGTTTTGCTAGGCTTTGTTACGCTTGACAAGTTTCCACTTGCTATATCACGCCGTGCGACAAACATCATGTCTTCTTCAGATAGGTCATGCTTTGGTCCATCTGGAATTTCTGGATCTTGTTGTTCTGCTATCGTGTTCTCGAGTCGAAGATGCAATGGTTTTATGGATGTACTGCATCTTTATATAGTCATTAGATCAAAAGCGGAATGAAATCGTCGATCCCGACATTTTCCAATGCTTGACAGAGCTTAACAGAGCGTAACAATGCACAACAGAGCTTGGCAATCGTAAGCCTGATTTAAAGCGTCATAATCGCCTCAAAGCGCAATAATGCTTATCAAAGCTTATCAAAGTGTGATTTCAAGCGTAACAAAGCCTGGTCAAAGCGGGATCAAAGCGTCAGGAACCTATCAGAGCTTTGTTAAGCTTTCCTACGCTTTGGATCAAGCTTTTCTAAGCTTTGTTATGGTTTGTTAAGCTTTGATACGCTCTCGGCGCTTTAATCAATTCGTAACAGAGCGCCCAAAATTTTTGAACAGTCTAAAATTTGTTGGCGTTCTTGCCGAATATCCCGCTTCACTCCGAGCTTTTCTACGACCTATTACGACCCCGGCGCTTTAATCAAGCTTTGTAACGCTTTGGTGCCGCTTTACAAGCCGCTTTAAAGCGCCATCAAAGCGCCGTTGGTATGAACAAAAAAGACAAAAATGACGGCGCTTTGCTCGCCGATTTAAAGCGTGGAATTCGCCGTTGGTGTGAACGTAGCTTAAGGTAACAAAAACTTTTTGAAAAAAATTGTTTTGGCAAAAAACATGCGAGGATGAATGCTATGCATTGGTATGAATTGTGGCTTATCAAAAGATATATGTGACCTCTAAAAGTTAGTTTTAAATAAATTCACAAATTTTGGAACAAAAAGTCTATCAAAAACCACTTTTTGAAATTAAAAAAAAAAAGTTTCACATATCACACTTTGATAACATTGGGTAAGACTAAAATATAAGCCAAAGTGGTTTAAACTTTGACGGCGCTTTGCTCGCCGATTTAAAGCGTGGCATTCGCCGTTGGTGTTAACGTAGCTTAAGGTAACAAAAACTTTTTGAAAAATGAAATTGTTTTTCGATGTCAATCTTTTCTAAATATGCTAGACTTCAATAATAAACCAATGTTGATTGTCTAACCAGGTTAAAAGAAAGAATATATCATGTTTTAGATATCATTGTACCATTGGTTTCTATGAGAACTAAAATTTTTAAATGCATTTTTCTCGGAACCGTTTTCATGCACTGATAAGTTCATTTCTCGCTTAATTATGAACTGATTTTCTTAATTGTTTTGGCAAAAAACATGCGAGGATGAATGCTATGCATTGGTATGAATTGTGGCTTATCAAAAGATATGTGTGACCTCTAAAAGTTAGTTTTAAATAAATTCACAAATTTTGGAACAAAAAGTCTATCAAAAACCACTTTTTGAAATTAAAAAAAAAAGTTTCACATATCACACTTTGATAACATTGGGTAAGACTACAATATAAGCCAAAGTGGTTTAAACTTTATATGGGGACTACCCTTAAATGTACGTGTTAACTTTGGCTATCTTGAGTACCATTTGGCTATTTGCATTGTGTTACCCTTAACTACCTTTATTATCCTTGTGTATCTATGTTATCCTTAAGTACCGTAATGATATACACCATCCCGGGGTACCAACTATACGGGACGTATCAGAACTACTACGTGCGCAAAACCGTTAATTAGAATTTTAAACCTACCAGGTGTTTGAAAAACAAGGATTGTGAGTCTCATGCTGCACCGTTTTTCTTCAAAGATGTCATTAAAAGCTAAACCAAAATGCCTCTCTGTCGGTGCATTGCTTTAGTGTAAATAAATTCCTCGTTGCTGTGAGATCAAGCAAATTTTCATAGCTTTTAACTATAAGTCTAGTTATCTCGCAAAGATTTTATTCTTTCTGGCCCATAATTGCAGAATGAACCCCAATTATAACCCTCAATCGCTACGTCTTCTTGTTTGATGGAAAGAAAGTCATTTATAAAAAAAGGAAGACAAGAGTTCAGCAAACATATGCCTTAATGTGCAACAATTTCGACAACAGAAATATCTAGAGATAATATTTTTAATTTGTCTTTCGTATTGCACTTGAAAGTTTCTTCTTTAACAAACTCCACAGGTTTCAACATATAAAAATTGGACCTAATCCGTCCAATTGGTATTTGGGTTTTCAAGGATTATGATTAATACGAAATAATGGCGGCTATTTTTTAATGCAGCTGCCATCTTGGAAACATCTTCTTGAGCAGAGTTCCTTTACCCCTAGGTATCAGCATATAACATTTGAAATATTTATAATATAAAGCATAAAGCATATAATATTTGAAAGATTGTGTTCTGATAAGAAACATAGCGACCACTTTGATGTTCAGGTGTCATCTTTAAAATACATTCTCGAGCAGAGAAACTGTGTCCCTGGGCACCAGCATATAATGTTTGGACCAAATTCGTCCACCGGAATATGAGTTTATCAATGATTACATTTTTACGAAAAATGGCGACCATTTTAAATCTTAGCGGACATCTTAAAAATCTCTTCTTGAGCTAGGCATCACCTTAAAAATTAAACAACGTGAACAAGTATTTGAGTTATCAAATATTGACTTTAGTTATTAAGTAAACATACATGTAGCTACCATTATAAATTGAGCACCCATATTGAAAGTTCAATCTCGGGCAGAGGTCCTATACACCCATAAAGCGCACGTCTTTAAAATTCGATGCAAATCCGTCAACCGGTATTGAGTTGACGGACGAACAGAGGGACGGATGGACGGGTGGGCGGCCTTTCTATATCCATCCGTCTCTACGTTCGGTCGAATAACAATCTCAATTTGTAATTCCAGTCCTAAAAGTAGTTTTTTCATAACTGATTACGCGAGTAAAATCAAAACATAAAGATACTTGACCCGGTGACCTAATGTTGAAAGGGGGAAGTATGATTGCCTCTCTTCTGGAGGGGAGTGTATGTCTTCGTTGTATTTTAGATCATGTGAACGTTTTGATTATCTTAAGATGTGTATATTATTATGAGTCCAACTTTAGGAGATTTCAGTCCAATCTTTCGATAATCACAATGACGATATGATAAAATATACAACAAATATATTTGTGTCGAGTGTATTTGATTAAATAAGTAATAACATCATGATACTTCAATCGGTTCAGAGTACTCAGACAATACAGTATTATTTGCAAGCAGATTACTTGATCGTTATGCCCTCAAAACTTTTTTGAATGTTAGATGCATAAAAGATAAAGCGAGAAAATTTCCATTGCGATCATTTCAATATTACACGTGTCACATAGAATGACAGATATATCAAACACGGTGAGTTTCGATAGCATGATCAGCTGAATGGTATAATACAATACCTGCATACTTTGAAAATAACATATACATTTACCCTATGTTTTCTAATGCAGATGTTCAAATCCAGGGCTTGATTTCATATCGTGGGCACGAACAGCGTCAACGTCTACAATTGGAGAAATATACTTCTCAAAAAGGAATATCTCTGTGAATAAGACACTCTTAAATATTTTGAAAACTTTGGACAACTTAAAAAATCATATTTTAATATCTGGGAAACTTTAAGAAACTTTAAATCGAAATCTTTATTGATTTGCAAAACCACGGATGGGTAGTTTTTTGAACGAGAATGTTTTCACGATATAATTTCTGTTTTTCGCGAGGTAAATGCATTAAGTCAATGACGTTGACCTTCTAAGCCAGCGTTACTTGAATAACCATACTGAAAGAATAACCCAGCTGCAAATAGGTAGTCACTTGAATATGGAAGTATTTTATTTGAAAAAGCCACCAAATATGATCTTGCAAAACTTGACCAAGTACATTACAGAGCTGCATTACTAGTAAGTGGATGCATTCAGGGAACTTCAAAAATTAAACTATTTAAACCCCTCAACTGGATTTTTGACCAACATAGAAATCCTGTTCGAGATATAAACCTAAGAAATGTCAGAGAATTTAATATTCCAAGATCATCTGGCTCCTTTTCTAAATCGCCAATAATAAAAGCAATGCGCGAATGGGAAAAGCTCCCATATTATCTAAAAGAAAACAAAAAAATTTAAAAATTTAAAAGGAATGTTAAAAAACATTTCCGAGATAAAGATTTACCATTACCTACATCTAAGCTTGAATTATCTCGAAAGAGTGAAATCCTTCTAAATCGCATTAGATGTGATTTTATTTTCACAGGCCACTTTTTCCTGCACAATTTTAGAAATGTTGACAGTCCAAATTGTTTATGTGGCTACAGAGACCAAACTACCAAGCACCTCATCTTCAACTGCCCGCTATTATTAAGAGAAAGAGAAGAACTTTATGGGGAACTTAGGATAATGCCTGAACTTGATTTCTTTTTTTCACCAAGATGCTCTTTAGAACACAAGACAAATACTCTCCTGTTTGGTGACATTTCATTGAATAATTCTATTAAAGGTCTAGTTTTTTAATCTTTTACAGATTTTCTTTGTAAGATAATAGAACTTGTCTAAAATAACATGTATTTATGATGAGTCAAAAACAATCAGTTCATTTCTCCAAACAGGAGAGCCATCTTTTATGTAAATTCAAATACTGTTACCCACAGGGCCAATAATGCTTTGGCGTAGGCCCTGTTCATGCTGTATAATTAAGACTGTTTAAATAAAGGAACCATAAAAACTAAAATAGGTAGTCACAAGTTTCACTACCAGATGACTAATTTGGGTCAGATAGCATGACAGATATAATACAGGGTGTTTCATAATGACCGTCTCCCTATCCACAGCCAATCCTAGATCACGTGGCCCTATAATCTATATACCATGGTAAAGGTTATTCAATTCTGGACTTATGTGCCCAATTTTAGCATGTCTGGTCAATGAGAACATAATTTGTAAACTTATGTTTGATCACTAAACCCTCAGTTTGTGTGATTTGTGGCTACCATTTTAATGGATTTAAAGAGAGGAGCATAATGCTATATAATCCATTGAAACACCAAGAGCTCTCTGGGTATTTCTTTGAAATATGTAATACATTTCTCTTTCAAATATCATTGGGATATATTCTCAGCATCCATCAAATGTTATAAGTTGTACATACATGTAACTATAGATAATAGTGTATTGAGGCATGGTTAACATAGGTGTTAGCAGGGCACGTGGCTAATTTTGGAAAAAAGTAGATATCAGATTCTATGCTTAAGGTAAAATGGGTACCTTTTGTAGAGGTATGTAGCTAGTTGTAAAGACTGTTGAGCTCATTCAAAGTTGTTTTAATTAGTTCAGGATTGAACAAGCTTTCATATGATATTTAACATATGCTGGTATGCTATTTGGAATTGGTGGTTGATAGGGGGACGGTCATTACGGAACACCCTGTAGAAAGTTCCCTTAAACTTGAATATTCATTCTTCAGTTTTAGTTGTTCAATATTGATAATAGGGACTGTAATTTCCCACTAAGCGTGAACGGAAAATATTTAAGCGATGCATTTTTTATGGGCGATTGGTTATACGTCGTATAGGTTGGCGTTTAGATTTAAATGCAAGCTTAAACTCCTTATTATTACCACCTTGCCGGGCCAGTTCTAGGGGTTTTGGTGCTAGTTTAGAAGGCACTCATTTTACTATATCGACCTGAGCAATATGTGACGTCATAGTGATGGTCCATATTGCCGGTCAAGAATGCATTTAAAGCTGCTTAGCAATGTTATTTGGATATATAAGCACAAATGCCAAAGGGAAGGGTGACTAAAAACTTTAAAACTGTAAGTGTAAATCTGTCATAGGAAAAGTAGACCCTATATATCCCAAAACCATGATCTAACGTGAAAAGAAACAATGTCTAACATCCCCCTCCCCCCTCCAATCGAGAACCAATATCACAATCCAGGACCAGAACACCAAGGGACATTTCATTCATACGGAAGTCATTAAATACATGTTGAAAAAAAATTGAAAAAATTGATAGCCAATACTCATAACATCAAAAATAGTTGTAGATACTAGTACTCATAAAATGATTTGGGATAGATAAAACCCAGTCTCGAAGTCCATAGGCAATTCAAAGGGTCAACATCCGTTCGCAAAGCCTATTTCTACCCAAATTGAGTTACTAAATCAATCACTGGGTAAATAAATACATATACATGAAGGCCCAGACATGTTATAGGTCATTAAGAATCACAATTCAAGGATAAAATACCTGCTTCTTACCTGGCAAAAAGTAAAAGAAAGGGAAATACCCAAAGCTGTAAATCTGTGATTTCTAATTCTAGTCATTGTTACCACAATAACTAAGTAGCTTGCAGCAGTATATTTGCTTTTCTCATGGACTCTAGATCCTCCTTTTCCTACTATTGGGTTTGGGCAACATGGCTATGTCCCTTAATCCCATAATATGAATATTAATTTGATAAATCTAAAGAACAATTTGAACTGAGAGGAAACATGTGTGATGCCATCAAAAGTTGTGTAATGAAGCACGAGGAATTTCTGTGGTAAATTATCTGAAAATAAATTCTCAACTTAAATTGAGAATTCTCTGTTCATCCACAGAGTTAGGGGACATAGCCTGCCTTCCCAGAAAAGTAAGATATTTATCTTGGACAAAAAGATCAGGAATATTGTCAAAAATCACTAAAAATCATGCTAGGCCGCTTTAATGACCGGCAATTTTCCCCGGGAAATTAGATCAGTGCGTAAGCTTTTCTTGCTGTTTCATTCCTGGGCCGGTGAATTCGTACGATCCGCGACCCGATCTGGATAAATTTCGTCATGGTAATGATGCATTGTGGGATTAATACAAGAATTTATCCAATATCGGTGAATTCGTACGATCCTGAGATTAATCTCAGGATAAATCTCAATCCACCTCTTGAGGTGGATTACTTTTTGGATAAATTTTATCCGAATTCCAATGCAAATGGGATAAATCTAGGGGATTCCCCCTCTTAATCCTCGGATCATTCGAATTCACCAAATATTTATCGGATTAGTAATCCAAGATTTATCCCAAAAGATAAAATTTATCCGGATTGGATTGGGGATCGTACGAATTCACGGCCCCTGGTCATTAACGGTGGTAATAATACTAATGACGTCAATTCTGCGGGCAAAATAGTGAAATATTGCCCTTCGAAATGACGTTATTGTACTATTACTTTTAAATGACGGAAACACCACTTGAGGGGAAGGTTTCTCAATAGACAAGGTGCGTTTTCATCTAGAGGAAATGTGGTAGGCATTTAGTGTTAAAAGTGTTCTGACAAGTGTTTCTTATGAAACTTTTTATGCTGAATCCAAAAAACCAGTTGGCAAGCTGAAATATGATTATTTAACCCTTAATATACTATGTTAGTCCCCCCTCCCCCAAAATTCACCCCTATCAGGTGTAAAAAAATCTTCAACCTAAAATAACTTTGATTTTATGGTTTTTGTGTGTGAAATACATGGACATTGTATAAAATAAATATTTGAAGTATGAATGATATGGATTACACTTAAGAGATTTGAATAAAAGCAAAAAGTGTGTACCACAGGGGGCAAATTTATGACCTATTTTTTACTTTTCGTGTCATAACTTTTTTATTAGACAATGATGGATGCTAAAAAAATCCATGTAAAAGGCTTTATACCTGGTTTACCAATCCTGCAAGAATCAAAGTAATTCCTCTGATAATTGCCCTGAAAAAAATTAGTGAATTTAAGAAAAAATGACATTTTAGCTTGGACTGATTTTATGTGTGACTATAACTGACCCCTATTGCTTCAACATTTATCCCTCTGTGTTCAAATATTTGGCATTTTAGAATAAATCTAAAATACATAACTTATTTAAGCTAAGTTTTAGGAAGATTTTAGCTTTTTAGCATGTTCAAATATTAAAAATTCATGAAATATGATGTCTAAAATTGATAAGTTATAGGTATACCCTTGGAAGACCCGTATAATTTCTTATTTGTGAACATATTTGTACCAATATTAGTTTTCTAGCTTAGAGAAATAATGTATGATATCTCCTGGTTTGGCTTTCTGGTGGTTTGAACAATCTTAGATGTTATCATTGAAAATTCATTCTTAAATCATAGGTCTGCAATCAATCAAATTCAAGTATACCATTAGTATCATTCTACTGGTACAGGGTGTCCAAAAAAGAACCGAAGAAAAGTTAATTAACTTGGTCAATCCGGGTTTTCGGAAAAGACCGACCCCACCGACCGGTCGGTGTTTTCCACTGGTAGCCTCAAAACAGGGTTTGAAGAAAATGTGTAAAAGACCGACCATATCATGTAAAAGACCGAACATATTTGTAGCCTTAGAATATTAATAATTTGATTTTGAATGTCAATCGTTGGACTAGGCAACGTTTTTTACCGATTTTGTACCTTGCAACGAATGGCAAGCAAACAAATTGGTCATGACCGTCTCCTCTCGATTAATTGCCCTGCCTTAGGTCCTAACCT